CAAACATAATTTCTCACAAATTATTTTTCCAACCAGGCCGGCCAAAGAAAATTCAATTTGAATCACAGAAGGTGCTACAAACTAACTAGTATGACAGTTTTGGTCGTCTATGACACAACCGATGAAATTGCAAGGAGATTTTATCATAGGTATTTCTTGCACGTTTCTTATGGTTGAAATTTCTCTTTTTTTTTTATGAGATATTTTACATTGAACCTAAATTTATGTATGAAACCACTATTGAATGATTTTAAAATTCGTTGATATTCCCCTGCATATTACTTGACGTATACAACTATTTTGTCAGGGTACATATCAGTCCAGAATAATTCTTCCAAAGTAGAAAACAATGGTACATGAATTCATAACAAAAGTATAATACATGTTATTGTAATTATATTAAATATGATAAGGAGTAATAGTTATTAACAACAATAAATTACACATGAATTTGTTTATTAAAATCTACGTAATACTTGAGGTCTTTTATGTCTCCTAAGTATTCGTTACAGTATAACATGTTCCATAGTGTATCCCTATCATTTATATAAAATTATATTAACACAAATGAATTTATTTATGAGGGTATTTAATATTTTTGATGGAGTTTCTATGATTAAAATATGAGTATGACTTGATGTTCATGGAGTATATTCATTAATATTAGGTGTATACATGTTCGAGTAAAACGGTACGTCTTTTTGTATATAAGTATTTATATTCGTATACATGTATAATTATTGTAAATATGAGTAAATGTTACACATGAGACATATTGAATTCTCCCATCGTAAGAAGAACATATTAGTTATTGATGTGTAAATGAAACATGTCCATGAGTGCTTTCAAAATATTTGGTGAGTAAATATCTTCTCAATATATGACAAATGTGTATAAAATTATGTATAAAGTCTATTCCTCAATACGAGTGCATTCAATCAATTCAGAAATATATAATTTAGTGAAATAAAGAAACAAATATCATCATTGGGGGTATGTGGCTTCCACTTAGGAATCCCTCAACACCCAACCATGATTGTAGCTAGCTTAGATGGTTATGGTGTGAATAGATCATTGAAATTTCACCGAATATTGATATCTATAAACTAATACTATTGAAACGATCATTGGGATCAATTGATCAAGTATAAGGGTGGATGAGAATGTCACGTAAGATAGATTTGACCTAACATATGATGTCGTGGATTATGGTAAGAGATATCGATAAGTTAGTAAATAACTTATGAGATATGTCTCAATCCTTACTCTTTATTGGTTTATCCATGACAACATTTTGTAGACTAGGAAAAACATCTATAACGAACAAATGTGCTAGAAGGTATAATAAATACATATTATACTCGAGATATATTAGGACTATCCACACCATAAGTAAGCAATTGTAATTGACGTGTACATTGAACGTGTCCATCAGTGCTTTAAGGATAGCATTAGGAGTACACATTTTTTCACTATATAAAGTCTATTTCCTTAATAGAAGTATATGCAATCGTGTCAAAAGTATGTAAGTTAGTTAAATGAGGAATATATATCTTCATTGGAGATATGTTGCCTCTAGATATTTAGTTTTTTCTTACGGAGTTGTTACAACAAAAATACAAGTATTATGTGATGTTTGGGAAATATATTTATTAGTACCAGAGGTATACATAATACGAGTAAACGGGTGCATATTTGTCTATGAAAGTATTTATAATCGTGTGCAAGTATTATTAATGTGAACATAAGGTTTTCAAGTAACACGACAAAACTTGTCAATGATTGTTGCTGGATCAAACAGCTACGAGTTGATAACATTATACCAAATTTCTAGACAATAACTATGCAACAAGGGATACTTCTGAGATAACATATGAAAGAACTTATCAATACATTCAAGGGTGGATGGGAACGTCACTTACAATATATATAAAATAACATAAGTTGAGGTGACCAAAAGTAATATATATTATATTCAGTGTATAAATGATGACCTAACATATTTTTTGTATTGTGATTGTTTGTCCAAAAATTTGTGAAAGTGAGATGAAACATCCAACAAGAGTAAATAAGGTAGAAGATATAGCAAGTATTAGTCGTGAGACATATTGGACTTTCCCACACTGTAGGGATAACAAGTATTATTTGGCCACAAATCTCAGTTATTCGTCAATCCGATTGCTACAAATCACACCCCAATCATTGAAATTGTACTAGACAGACCCTCTGAGGCCCCCTGCTAAAATTATTGTAGCAAATTTTGTCCTATAAGCCTTAACATCATTGAATTCGCTACCCAGCCGCCTAGGGGGTAACGGTCTGTATCTTTTAAAGCGTAGCTCTCAGCGTATATGCATAGAAGTCTGCTACCAAGCCATCTGAATTATTGGGGCACTGTAGGTAGTCCTCATGCTTTTTTGAGTGCCGAAATACACTCGTTAATCCAGATCAGCAATGAAGAAAACCAATGATTTCAATAATCAAGGTACCCCAAAGACAATGGCATACACTCGCGAATAATATATAGAACAAACAAAATTTTCACTAATCGGCAAAAATAGATACATTTATAACCAACACGATTATAGAAACATCGTCAATACCTTAGTACTTAAAAAATCATCCGACAAGAAAAAAAATTGCCTACGGTATATGAAGAAAGGAAAGAGCACCGCCCGCCTCACATCTTAATCATTTTACTATGCGTGTAAACTAATAAAAATGTAAGTAAAGGTACTTCTATAGACAATAAGATCATTAACAATTTTGAACACATTAAAATAACTCATATTTGACCTGATTGTGCGATACAGTGTCAAAGTAAAGTGATCCATCACCGATGTTTGTACAAATCCAACCGAGGTACAAATAAAATAGATCCATGTACACCAGGAACTCGAAGAATCGATTCTACCAAAGACATAAACTCTAACTTACTATTTCGAACTCCGTTTTGAGAATGAGGTCTTTTTCAAAATCTCGTCTGGGATCAGATATCTTGACAGTGAGGGAAGACTTCCGACGGCGGCGGAGGTTTCTACAGGGAGACTCAGCGCCAATTAGTTTGCCAAAGGACTTCGACGGCGATGGCAGCAAGGGAAGAGCAGAGTTTGGAAGAATAACTCATCCACAACATCGGATAATGAGTTTTATTAGGGTTTTGTTTTGTTTTTGGGTTTAAATTACTGTAACTAATTTTAGTACATAAATAAGAACTGAAGGCACATTAATCTGACATTCTTTATACGACTTGGATAATTTTGGAGTACGTAATTAGATAATGTAGATTTAAATAAAAAAAAATGGAGGTTCATACAATATTGGTAAGATGGGTATTAGGGAGTCAAGTATAAATTGAAATATAAAGGGGAGTGGAATGCATTTTCAAAATGGAGAGGGATTAAACTTAAATCATTTTTATCTGACAGGGATTTAAATCCAAGTGCCCCAATGTTTAATGATGTAGAAAATGATGTGCGTGTATTTTTATTAAATATTCTAAGAATAAAATATGATGAAAACGTATAATTCTATTTTCTAAATATATGAAATTTTTAATTATGTGGAAAATTATGTAAATGTAAAATATAATTGAGGTTTTTCATAACGTGAAAGAGATAAATTGATGTTACACAAAAGAGAGAATGGAAAGAAACCTGGATAGGTTGCTCGATTGCAGATAACCTAAAAGAATGTTTGATAAGTAAACACTAGCTCACTAAAAGTTAATTTCTTTAATCTAGTTAAGTTATTTCGTTTTGTTCAGTGCTTTAATTTTTTGTTTCTTTATTTATTATTTTCGTTACCAAATTTTAATAAATTTATTATATTGTAACTCGAAAAATTATGGCTCCACTTAGACAATTTTTTTTTTAAATTTTGGAGTTTTGAAAAAAAAAAATTAAAAATAGTAAAATATTTACATTTGATATAATAATTTGTGAGAAAAAAAATATTTGATGTGATATTATTAAAACAATTATAGTAAATGAAATAGTACTAAAAGTTTCAAAAATATATGTGTATTGTGTGTTCGTGGGGTTATTTATTTTGATTTTGGCTTTGGATTTTGAATAGTAATTTTAAATTGAATAGTTGTTTGATATGATATAAATATATATATATTTTTCATGTAAAAATTAAAATTTTAGTATAGTATAATAAATAAAAAATTGTTTAATTTGATTTTTTTGAAAAAAAATATTTAAAATAGTAAAAGCTAACTGAAAACTCAACCAACAAACACACTCGTTCAACGTATATTTTGCCAACATGATCCGATTGATAGTCAAAAAAATGAAAATTTCGAAGATCAGACATAATTTTAATAATAAAAGCGAAAACTGAATACACAAAAAGAAACCAAAAAGAAGGCGGTTTAATTATATATATATATATATATATTTTTCAAGCCCCGGGAAATAGGAAAAATGCAATTTTGAGGTACTAAACAATATCGAATGGCTGAAAAATATTCACTACAAAAAAATAGTATATTTATAACGGAATTTCGTTTCTAAAGTTCACGTAATTAACGTAATTCCATCTCTAATTCCGTCTCTAATATCATTAGTAACGGAAAAAGTGGATTTAACAATGAAAAAATTTTGTTACAAAATTGATATTTTTTTGTAGTGATTGGAGATCACGCACCAAATGTGTGATGAATTTGGTTTAGATGAGCCGTGCATTCTTTCAATTTCGAGTAACGACAGAAAAAGGAAAATATTTTGGCAAATCCCAAACATATATATATATTTAATTTAATTATTAAATTCATGTTCCTTATAAGAAAGAGCATTTTAGTAAAGAACACCAACTATTCATTCATAACCAAAAACTAGTGATGGGATTGTAGCTAAGTAGACCTTTTTCACATTCTAGATTAAAATAAAATAAAATAAAAAGAAGCAAAAACTACCAACTCCATTAGTGAAAAACAACATATAGAAAAGAAAATGCATATCTTGCATTCTTCATGAGCTTTTATATACTTGAAAGATTCAGAATTTTATCGAATAGATGTATCTAAGTATAATTCGCTTTGAAGGACTATTCCCTAGATACGCACATCGTGGTATTTTACAATTTAATCAAATATAAAACGACCTAATTATCGCGGATACAACTCCGTAATTGAAGCCTCGTTGTTAGAAAAAGGAGTATGTTCGACCAACCGATCTTCTGGTCTCTCTTGATCCGAGGAACGGGACACAAAAAATGCAGGCTTTGTTGGCGGTGGTAAAGTCGCGTTGAAATTGCTAAGCATCAAACTAACCGAAGCCATGGTTGGTCTATCATGTGTTCTTTCTTGAACACACAACAAAGCAATATGTACGCATCTTATTATATCGCCCAAGTTACTCGACTCGGATTGCAATGTAGGATCTATCACGTTTACTATTGTTCGCTCGTTCCAATTTCTCCATGCCTGTGAAATGCCAAGAATTTTACCATGAAACATTTTTTTCTTCTCTCAAGTTCTTTTTCCAATTAAAGATTTACTTACATAATTTAGCAAGCCTTCTTCGATTGTAATACCCTCGTTTCGGAAATTGCTATTTTTCTGTCCGCAAATAATTTCCAAGGCCAGAACTCCGAAGCCATATACATCAGTCTTGATGGAGAATCGCCCGTGATGTACATATTCGGGTGGCATATAGCCGCTACAACAAGGTTGCAAGGTATGAGTGTTTTCGTGATAATTAAATAAATGCTTTGTTAGTTACGTGTACCTTAAACGTGTATAAACTTTGGATGATTAGAGTGAATAATATTATTTTATCTAAATTAATTACATATTTATTTTAATACATTAAAACCCGAGATTGATGATTAAACTCAAGGATAATTATTCCCGTCTAGATGGGTGAGATCAATTTATGCAAGAAATATTTAAATTAAAATTTATATTTTTTTTGTTTAATCTAGCAAAATAAACATGATATTAATTAGTCTCGTGATTATATAATCAATTGAAATAATATTGTGGATTATAATCATATATTACTTTCTAAGATATGATTATAATTCCTAATATTATTTTAGTAGATTATATAAACATGAGATTGATTAATTTTATGTTTACGTTGCTAGATTAAATATAAGATAATATAGACATAAGTACAATATTGCTTAAATAAATTAAATAAATTTTTCTTAATTAGTGTATTTTTATAATAGGCTTTCATCGACCCTGTATTTTAATGTATTAAAGTAAACATGTGATTAAATTGGATAAAATAATATTATTCACTCTAAATCACCCAAAGTAAACACACTCTTAAGTCTAATTTTGTTGAAGAAATAGACTTACTAGGTTCCAACAATTCTTTTTGTGTTGGCTTCAGTTTCATTGCATAACCTTGCGAGGCCAAAGTCCGCTATTTTTGGATTCATGGTTGTGTCGAGCAAGATGTTGCTTGCTTTTAGATCACGATGAATGATGCGCAACCGAGAGTCCTCGTGTAGATACAATAGACCTTTTGCAATACCTCTTATAATTTTGAATCGTGTATCCCAATCGACAAAATGAGCTGTAGGTTGATCTACAATAATATAGCATGTGTCAATGTGATCAGACCATAGAATTGAGTAATAGAATTTATTTATATCTTGATGAACCAGCAAGTGATTCTATGTACATAATTTTACTGGGATTGAAAGTACTTACCAAATATGTAGTGGTCCAAGCTTCCATTGTTAACAAACTCATAAACAAGAACTCTCTCTGTCTGATCCCGAGCGAAACCGTGCAACCTAACAAGATTTCTGTGTTGAAGTTTAGCCAGTAACATGATCTCATTCTGAAATTCTGAATCTCGCTGTCCCGTACCCATAAACAACCGTTTAACTGCAATTTCTTGATCATCTTCGAGTTTCCCCTTAAGAAAAACACACAACACACACTCTCTCGGGTCATTCTGATTGTACATGTCAAGCATTTTAGGACGTGTTCATTTCATCCGCTAAAATTACAGAGTTTCTTGTGAACACCGATATTAGAAAGTAATAGTATTTTAATATAAAAATGGATAAATAGAAAAATAAATCGAAAGTGTAATGAGAAATTCATGAAAAAGTAGGCAGAGAAAAAGTAAGTTGAGACTTACCTGAGATTAAAAGTGAATTTTGATTGTTGCGGCTAAATTGTTACTCTCTCGTTACTCTCTCGTCATGTAAACTTATGTCAATTTGACCAGACACGAGTTTTAAGAAAATTGCATAAAATTAGAAAAAATTTCTTTTTATGGTAAAAAAAAGTAAAGAAAGTGATTTTTTTTTTTACTAAAAAGAGAACGGAAATTAGTTTGGACGACAACAAAAAAAAAAAAGAAAAAAAATTGGGAATAAGTTTTGCATAATAGATAAATCTTTTTAATTAAAAATAAATTATACTACCTCCGTCCCAATATAATAGTCTTGTTTACCTTTTTTGTCTGTCTCAAAACAATAGTCTTATTTCCATAAATAACCATATCACCATAAAATATCCGTACTTTTTCATTATTATTAGACAATTGTCACTGCTTTTTACACTAATATACTCACCAGGGCAAAAAAGTCATTTATCCTTACTTTTTATCAACTATCAATATAATATCAATATTTTTTAAATCTCGTGCCCAACACAACAAATACTATACTTTTGGGACGGAGGGAGATGTAATTTACAAGTATGCATTCTCTTACCTTATACACAGCACCAAACCCGCCTTCTCCCACCTTATTAGCATCGGAGAAGTTGTTTGTTGCATCTTTGATTTTCTTAAACTCATATTGCAATGATTCTGCTGTTCTTGTCTCATTTTCTGTGAGTTCTGCTGGTACAAGCATGTCTGAGTTTTGTCAAATTGTGTATTCTTAATCATTGAATGTGTATATATCGAAAGGGAAAATAAACTCACTTGCACATTTCTTTTCTGTTCCTTTCCTCCTCTTCGACATTACGATGCAGCAAGCCAATAATAGTAGACAAAAAATAATTGGAACGACGATGAAAATAATGGTTCGAGCTTTACTATCCTTTTGTTTCCCTGCAAAGACAACGACGAAATAGTACACTAAGGGTGCGTTTAATTTATGTCGGATTAATTATGGTTGATTAGTATATTATTGTAAGGGACTTCAATAATCATCAATCTCTGTTTTTGATATAATATTAATGTAAATATGTGTTTAGATTTGATAAAATAAAAATTTGCACCCTAATTACTCAAAGTAATCACATTTGAAATGTTTAAAATAAGTTACTTATTTTCGAGTTTTCATAATTCATAATAGGTAACCTGATCCGATTAATCTTTATGATTTTTCATGTTTACTCAGCTTTTTTAACAATGTCATTTCAAAGCTTGGGTTTCGAAATTCTTATACGATTATACGTGGTAGTTACAAATACTGAACAATATGCAATGTGCTAACAAATAATAAATCATATTACTATTGACATACATCATTTATATTAAAATAATACAAGTACAACACATGAAACAATTGATTTTATAATACATGATGTACTCTTATACAACACATATTGTAATTATGAACAAACAACACATGTTGTATATAATAATGATATATATTAGTTTTATATTTAACGTATTTTGATTTGGAAAATCAGCATGGTACAAATTTTCTCAAATCAATACTGTAACACTTCCCTTTTAAACAAGATAGACAAAATTGTTTTTCACTTTGTAGTAGTTTGAAAAGTCTGCTTCATGCTCTTATATTTTTCATATTAATCCGTACAAATCAAAACTTCTCATTTCATTTAAAAAAAACAAAATAGTAACTCTCAACTATGTTAGAAATTTTGGGGAAAAATAATGAGATTGTGTTATTAATCATCAGAATAAGGAGCCTATATAGACAAAAAAGATGCGATAGACTCAAATGTAAGTAATCTAATCTATCAATAAGATCAAATCTAGATATAAATCTACTAAATCTAAAACTGAATATCTAAAATATCTCAACATCCCCCTCAAACTCAAGTGGTATAACAGAAACCAACTTGAGTTTGATGAGAAATTTGAATATAAACGCAAAAAGAAAACATAAATAAAATTAATAGTTGACTCTCCACCGACCGGAGCAAAAAACAAGATGACTCTCCACCGGAGCCGAAAACGAGATGAGTCCACCGGAGCCGAAAACGACAGGACTCCACCGGAGCTGAAAACGAGATGACTCCACCGAAGCCAAACACAAGATGACTCTCCATTGGAGCCGAAAACAAGATGACTCCACCGGAACCGAAAACGACATGATTACACCGGAGCCGTCGAAAATGAGATGACTCCACCGAAGCTGAAAACGAGATGACTCCACTTGAGCCGAAAACCACATGACTCCACCGGAGCCAAAAACCACATAACTCCACCGGAGGCGAAAACGAAATGACTCCACCGGAGCAAAAAACGAATGACTCAACCGGAGCAAAAAACGACATGACTCCACTGGAGCCGAAAACGAGATGACTCCACCAGAGCAAAAAAGAGATGACTCCACCGGAGCAAAAAACGAGATGACTCCACTAGAGCAAAAAACGAGATGACTCCACTAGAGCCGAAAACGACATGACTCCACCGGAGCCGTCGAAAACGAGATGACTCCACCGAAGCTGAAAACGAGATGACTCTACTTGAGCCGAAAACGATATGACTCCACTAGAACCGAAAATGATATAACTCTCCACCGGAGCCAAAAATAGATAGATCGCGGGCAATAGACAAGCAGAGGACATATGGTAGATCGTAGGCAGAATGAGGACTCAAGATAAAATCAAAATCAGAAAAAGAAAGGGCTGGAAACTATAGAAAAAATTTCAAAATTGGAAGACCTCCGGGTACATCCTAGGTTGAATGTACCCGGAGAAACGCGGGTTGGTAGGCTATATCTACGGCATGAGAAAAGTAAGCTTTGATACCATGTTAGAAATTTTTGGGAAAAATAATGAGATTGTGTTATTAATCAATAAGGAGCCTATATATAGGCAATACAAAACAGAATCGGTAGATTCAAATGTAAGTAATCTAATCTATTAATTGGATCAAATCTAGATATAAATCTACTAAATTGAATATTTAAAATATCTCAACAAACTAAATATTAAAATACCCTTATTTTTTACTTTCCATATTATTTTTCAAAAATAAAATGAATATTACATTACTTTTATTACACTATATATCTATAAAAATACAAATTTTTGTTAATTCTCTTGTGAAAGTCAAACAGAAAATTTACCACAAGACAAAGAGACTAGATTTTATATAATATTTTTTAAAATACGAGGAAGACTCCTGCAATATTAAAATCACGATGAAGACTGGTGCAAACTTTCCGAACAATATATCGATTACAAGCAATTTTACCGACAATTTATTACCTCGTGGTGAAGGTACCGGCACTGCAGCCATGGTCGGAGGCGGAGATGAACCTACCGTTGGCCCGTCCTGAGGTACCGGAAACGTCTGCTTAACTTCTTGAATCCTCGACGTATTATAAAAGGCGAACGTCTCGTAGTTAAGCATGCAGCTCGGAGCCAATATTCTCGCCCCGATTGTTGTATTACAACAAGCCCGTGCTCTCGCCGCGAGCGCCGCCAGACAAGTTTTGCAATCCGCGGCCAACAAATCAGGCGTGCATTGCAATAGCGCAAAAATCGTAGCATTCAGCGCCGTCCCCCTCTCTCCGGCCGCAACCTTCATCAGCTCCCCACCCGACGCCGCCGAGGAAATAAGGGTCCCCAACAGCCATCCCAAATCATCGTTAAATTGATCCGGGTTCGTCGCATTGGCCGCCATATTTTTCTCCACATGGCCCGGCGCATCGGCCCGGATCCTGAGAATCGGCTCGTCGGAGTACCTCACCATGCACACGTTGTCCCACAAAACAGCCTGTCTCCGATTCCGACATGACGTGACCAGATCCTCGGCGACTGTCTTGACGCAGGCGCGACAGGCGACGAGCTGGAGATCGCCTCGGCAGAGCGCAACTGCGTGCACTCGATCAGCGGCGGTCGAGCCTTGCGAGGCGCTGTTGAAGCCATTGTTGTCGATGTTTGATGGGAGGGATGAAAGGATGGTGAGGAGGTTGGTGTAGTATGGGCTGTTTTCTGTGTAGTTGCCGTTTGGGGAGCACTGGTAGATTCGTAGGCAGGAGACAGTAGTGAAGAGAGTTGTGAGAATTGGAAAAGCGAAGAGGAAGAGGGGTTTAGGGGGCTGGGAAGCCATTAAAATGCTCTGCTTGAGTTCTGCAGCTCCCTTTCTGCACTGCAACTGTAGTGTAGAATGGATTGGGTTGATTGGGGAAGACGAGTGTTTTGGTTTAGAATGTGTTACTTGACTTGGTGTTAGGCCTACGGCCGGTCGCCGCCCGGCGTCAAGTATTAAAAAGGGGACAATATTGTATGTATGTATGTATATATATTTATATAGAGTTCTCGTTTTTATGCTGATTAGGTTAAGTTGGAATAAATAATCACAGATGATAAAACAATATAAAATACTTAATCAAATAACAAATGTTAATGCAATTGACGACTCAATATACTACCTCCCTCCTTAATTATTTGACTTTTGCGGCATTCTATATTAAAAATATTTTTATATTTGTATAATTTATTCCACAAATATAATTGTATTTTGTATTATAAGAGACTAATACATATATTTTTGTCATTTTCTCTTAATTTGTCCTACATATTCATATAATAATTAATATTCAAATATCCAACGCTCAAAAAGCTCATGGTACTCTTCTTATGGACCAATGTGGTATTATTAATTTTTAGTGCAATGAGAATATGTATACACTACAATACAATATTCTATCTTCGTCCGACTCTAAAGATTCTATTTACTTTTTGCGAGTTGATTTTTAAATATTAATTATTATATTAAAACATAATATAAATTAAGATAAAATTGCAAAAATACTTTCATTAATGTCTTATAATGCTAATAGAAGGACATTTACACAAAATTAATACAAATATAAAGATATTTTTAATATTAAGTATAATAATACGAAAAATAAGTGTGATCCTTACGCGGCGGACGGAAGAAATATAAATTACACAGCAAATGTTTCTATGTAGCATTATATAAACCACATGGCTGTCCTGATACACATATTCATCTTTAATCATATCATGTGATGGGATGATGAATGATAGATAAATGTGAATTAAGAAGTTAACAATTGATCCAGCCTTTTATATTAAATGTGCTCTACTTGTCTTGTGGTTAGAGTGGTGACCCGGCTAATTAGTATTCTAACCGTTTGTTATATATATAGTATAAATATATTTTAAAAAACAAAAAAAAAAAAAGTTACCCCTATATAACTGTTCGTTCGAAAATTTTAATAAATTAAAGGGTAAACTGTTTTTTTAATTTCGTATTTGACTTCTTTTACCATTTTAGAATTTTAACTGAATCATATCTTAAAATAATCCCGTAACTAAAATTTTTTCGCTAAAATGGTCCACCCGTGCCGGATTCGCCACGCTGGCCCGCCGTTGCTGACGTTGCGCTGAGGCGGCTGACATGTCATCTCCATGTAGATGCCACGTCGGAGGACCATTTTGGCGAAAAAATTTTACAAACTATTTTCAGACATAGTCCATTTAAATGTCCTAAAAATTATAAATGAGGTCATATACGGGACCAATAAAATAGTTTACCAAGACATTTTGTAAAATAAAAAATATAAAAAATTCAATGTGTCGTTTACGTGGCGATGATACGTCAGCCGTGTCAGCGCCATGTCACCAACAGCGTGCCAACGTGGCGAGTCCGGCACCAGAGGACCATTTTAGCGAAATTTTTTTATTTAGGAGACTATTTTCAGACAGAGTCCACTTAAAATTCTCAAATGATAAAAAGGCCCACTAGTCCGGCTAGCTAGCGAGCGGTTCTTTAGGAATATCATATCCCATATGGGCTATGGGCTAGAACATCTGAAAAACAATTTAACTTAAATTAAAAGTGATAACTAATTAAAAAGTGTATTAATAAAAATAATTATTATATAATAAAAATAATTATAAATTAAGATTGAAATACCTAAAATAAATAAATTAATATTAAAAAAATTAGAAATTATAAAATTTAAAATATAATTAAAATGTATAATCATATTTTTTTAAAAAAATAAACAAATTAAGTGGAAAGAACGAAAATAAAAAATAAAAATAAATTATGTGAGACTAGATAGTATTATTTTAATTTTTATGATGGGAAAGGTAAAAATTAGCTTAGTATTTTATTATATATATTTCTTTATAATAAAAGTAATATATGTTTATATTTATATCTAAGAGAATTTTAAGGTTCATTTTCTTTAACGCTCGATTTAGTTTAATTCATCAAAATTTGTCTTTCAAATTATCATAGTATATATTTCTTTAGTAATTAATTTATTCATAATAAAATGAATTTATCATTCAAAATATGATATTAAAAATTTATTTATAATATATAAAATATTATTTTTAATTCAAAATTTTAATATTACGAAATTTCAAATTAAATATTAAAGTCTGAGCGACCAGGATAGGCCAAATGGTGGAAAGTTCAAAGTCAAAGTCATCAAGCAAATAATATATATATATATATATTTATTTATATATAGTTATATGTGTTTGTCTGTTTGTTGAGAAAAATAATATATAAATATGGATATTCTATGGAGTGGATTGTGTGCTGATTGTTTAAAATCAACACACATGCACGTATATATATATATATATATAATATATATTTCCGACGTTTAAAAATTACTATTGATTGATTTGTCCATTTCAAAACTGTGTAATTTAATTATTGTCTTGTTTAATTAATTGTAGTTTGAAAATGCTGCAACATTGTTTTGAACAAAACTATTTTATTATTATTATTATTATTATTATTATTTTATAATGGTTATAGATAAAAAAAATAAAATGTATTTGGTTGAGGATTTTGATTTTGAGTTGGGATTTGAATAGTAAAATTTTTGAATTTGAATAGTTGTATAATGTAATATAATAGGTATTGATGTGATGTTTTGAATATAAAATTAATTTTTAGTATAATATAAAAATAAAAAAATATGTGTTTGATTTGATGTTTTTTAAGGAAAAAAATTGAATAAATAGTGTATTTGGGGGAAAATCTCCCAAACAAACACGAAAGGCATTATATATATTGAGATGCCTTGTAACTAGTTTGTCACTTGTTCATCTGACATTGTAACGATGCATCTGAAAGTGGGATTCAAGTTAAGGTGGAGTTGATATGCATTGGAGCTAGTTTGCCACTTGTTCAACTAGCATTGTAATAATTCATTTGGAAGTGGGATTCAAGTCAATATAGAGATTTGTTGATATGCCTTGAATCTAGAGATATGATTTGGATATTATATATTAATTATATCATATATTTAGAGATATAATTTAGATATTATGATATGGGCTTATGCTATAAATAGGCTTATTCCCATTCTAACGTCCAGCCAAGCGGCTCGGCTCTGTAATCTGTAACATAACCGTCGTGAATGAAATCTATTCTTCGTTTATGCTCGTGGATGTAGCCAACACATTATTGGTGAACCACATAAATCTGTGTCTTTTTTACGTTTCTATTTGTTATTCGATCATCAACCATAATATGTCACAACAAACTAGTACCAGAGCCTGGTCGTTTCAATCAGAGTTTTGTTTATTTCCGCACTGTTAGAGTTTTTTGAGTTGATCAACAATGTATGCTTTCAACGCAAACGTTGACAAATTCACCGGGAGAAATAGTTTTAGCTTATGGAAGATCAATATGCGATCTTTGCGGAAGTAGCAGGGTTTGTGGGTGCCGCTATCTAAAAAACCGAGAGGTGCAAACGTAGATGATGAAGAGTGGGATACAGCAGAGGAGAAGGCTCACTCAACAATCATGTTGTGTCTGTCCGATGATGTAATCATCGACGTTGCCAATCAGGAAACTGTTGTTGGCCTCTGGAAGAAGTTAAAGAGTTTATACATGACAAAATCTCTAACCAATAAGTTGTTTCTAAAACAACGTCTATTCAGGCTACGAATGCAGGAAAGAACTGCTGATATGTTCACTAAATTGGTCCCCCATAGCAATTTTCGACACTATTTGGACTTGCTAAATTTCACAAGCTGGTAGTTGCCCTAGTAGGGGCAAATCTGAGGCAGAATGAAGAAGTCTGTTCATCTGGCATTGTAATGATGCATTTGAAAGTGAGATTCAAGTCAAGGAGGAGATTTATTGATATACCTTGAAGCTAGTTTGTCACTTGTTCATCTGGCATTGAAATAATTCGTTTGGAAGTGAAATTCAAGTCAAGGTGGAGATTTGTTGAGTTCCTTGAAGCTAGTTTGCCACTTGTTCATCGGGCAATGTAATGATGCATCTGAAAGTGGGATTCAAGTCAAGGTGGAGATTTGTTGATATGCCTTGGAGCTAGATGCCACTTGTTCTTCTGACATTGTAATGATGCATCTGGAAGTGGGATTCAAATCAAGATGGAGATTTGTTTATATGTCTTGAATCTAGGGATATGATTTGGATATGAGATATTATATCCTAAATTCAAATATATGATTTGGATATTATTGGCATAGGTTTATGCTATAAATAGCCATGTATTCCCCTTCTAACAAACAACCAAGTGGGTCGGCCCTGTAATCTGTAAGCTAGCCGTGCTTAATAAATCTGTTCTCCATTTCTACTCGTGAATGTAGCCAAAACGTTGTTTATTGGTGAACCATTTTTTATGCGCCATGTATAAATCTCCTCAGACATGCATGATAGATCCAAAGGCCAATCAATGGATGAACTTAAGCAAAAGCATAAGCTTGAAGGTTAGGAAGTTTGAAAGGTAGAGATAGCTAAACTTAAAAACCTATAGTATATTAGAGATGTACAAGTGGAACTGCCCCTATTTATGATGGTGGATTTTACCCGCCTGTAGAAACCATGATTTCATACTATAATAAGACTTTTAAAAGTTACCATTCTCATTGATAAGGGACACACCCACAATTTTTCTTTGTCTGGCTTAGTACGAGAGCTTAGGGATAACGTGAAACCAATATGAACTTTCAACATAGTACATTTTATTAATACTCAAAGGCTTCAAAATGATGAAGATTTTTGTAAGTTAAACCTTGATCTAGAAACATGAAAGATGAAGGTTGATTGCTAGATGTTTCGCTTAAAAGGCGTTGATGTTGTTTTTAGGGTGGCTTAGCTCCGCACTTTAAGGAAGATTCTAATTAATTGAGAGAAAGAAACAATGGTCTTTGTAACTTATGAATAAAAA